GTATCCCAAAATAGCGTTGCAGTGTAGACATAGCCTAAATATACAACAAGCATTTACAATATACTTAGATATATTTTCTCTTATTTTTAAAACTGATCTGTCCAAATATTTTTCATTCTTGTTCCTTTTGTAGGGATTAGCTGAGATAATTTACACTGTACTTACTGTGTGTCTTGATACCAATGATTTAAATGGAAAAAAAATCTGACAAATATAGTTAATTGAAAAAGTTTACTGACCCAAGTCATACAGCAAGCCTAATGGAGATATCTCATATATTGGACTCGGTCCCCATTCTGTGAAATCTCAGTTATCTCAGCTGTAAAACTTTCATGAGCAGCAAGTAAAAGATCAGGATGAGGAATAAAAACTGTTAAATGTCTTTTTGTTTTTTGTTTTTTTAACACTGGACTCAAACTAGTGAACATGAGAGTAGAATTTGGCCCAGTATCTCTGAAAGACATGTAAACTATTTCATTCATAGATTGGTGTGTTCACCATTAAACGTAAGCGTCAAATTAAAAAGTGGGTAAATCACTTTAGTTGAGACATAAAACTAGAGTGTACCCATGTAGTTGGATATTCTAGAAGTCAGAAATGTAAAGGACAACTTCATTGCCCAGCCATCCAAGCCCAGAAGAGTATATTCTTCATTCAGTGCTTTGTTATATTGAAATATAAATGACTCAAGTGAGGGAACTTTTCCCACTTCGATTGGGAGATACTAATCCATACCAGTTTTTTTACTTTTATTTTCATCCATCATTGCTGATGGCATCCGAAGGCCTAAAATATACCATCAATGGGAATGAAAGAGGTGCAGCACTCTCTAATGAAAAATGGACCAGAAAAGGATTCATTAGTGAGTTGAAGATGTGGCAAGTTGGATTTGAACAGAATTTCACTGCTTTTGTTCCCCAGCTTTGACCTTCAGTGAATTTCCAAATACAATACAGCCTTTTGTTTTACATATTTCAGAGCCTTTGGCCATTATCGTCCCAGACGATTGGAAAAAGGCAAATGTAGTGCCCATCTTTTTAAAAAAAGGACAATCCAGGGAACTACAGACCAGTCAACCTCACCTTAGTCCCTAGAAAAATCACAGAAGGGATCCTCGAGAAATCCATTTTGAAGCACTTGGCAGAGAGGAAAGTGATCAGGAATAGTCAGCATGGATCACCAAGGGCAGGTCATGCTTTACCAGCCTGATTTCCTTCAATGATGAGGTAACTGGGTCTGTGGACGTGGGGAAGTTGGTGGCCGTGATATACTTTAGCAAAGCTTTTGATATGGTCTCCCATATAATTCTTGCCAACAAGTTAAGGAAATATGGATTGGATAAATAGACTATAAGGTGGATAGAAAGCTGGCTAGATTGCTGGGCTCAATGAGTAGTGATCAATAGCTCAATGTCTGGTTGGCAGTCAGTTTCAAGGGGAGTGCCCCAAGGATCTGTTCTAGGGCTGGTTTTGTTCAACATCTTCATTAAAGACCTAGATGAGGGGATGGATTGCACCCTCAGCAAGTTTGCAGATGACACTAAGCTAGGGGGAGAGGTAGATACGCTTGAGGGCAGACATAGGGTCCAGAGTGACCTAGACAGATTAGAGGATTGGACCAAAAGAAATCTGATGAGGTTCAACAAGGACAAGGGCAGAGTCCTGCCCTTGGGAGAGAAGAATCCCAAGCATAGTTACAGGCTGGGGGCCAACTGGCTAAGTAGCAGTTCTGCAGAAAAGGGCCTGGGGGTTACAGTGGATGAGAGGCTGGACATGAGTCAACAGTGTGCCCTTGTAGCCAAGAGGGCTAATGGCTTATTAGGTGCATTCGGAGGAGCATGGCCAGCAGATCTAGAGAAGTGATTATTCCCCTTTATTCAGCTCTGGTGAGGCCACATCTGGAGTGTGTGTCCAGTTCTGGGCCCCCCACTATAGAAAGGATGTGGATGCGTTGGAGAGGGTCCAGTGGAGGGCGACCAAAATGATTAGGGGGCTGGAACTTGTGACCTATGAGGAGAGGCGAAGGGATTTGGGTCTGTTTAGTCTGCAGAAGAGAAAAGTGAAGGGGGGGAGGGGTTGATAGCAGCCTTCAACTTCCTGAAGGAAGGTTCCAAAGAGGATGGAGAGAGGCTCTTCACAGTAGTGACAGGTGGCAGAATAAGGAGCAATGGTCTCAAGTTACAGTGGGGGAGGTCTAGGTTGGATATTAGGAAAAGCTATTTTCCTAGCGGATGGGGAAGCACTGGGATGGGTTCCCTAAGGAGGGGGTGGAATCTCCAACCCTAGAGGTGTTTAAGTCTCCGCTTGACAAAGCCCTGGCTGGGTTGATTTAGTTGGGATTGGTCCTGCCTTGGGCAGGGGGCTGGATTTGATGACTCCTGGGGTCTCTGCCCGCCTTAGGATTCTATGATAAAATGTGTGAAATGCTCTCGCTGGGCAGTCTGTCTCTTTGCAGCCAGGCAGGAAGTTAAGATTGAGTTTGGGATACAGGGGGTGGGGTGCGATGGGCGAGGAGAGCTCCCATGCCACCCTCGCAGTGGGCAGGAGAGCTCAGCATTCAGGGTGACACAGCAGGGCAGCCAGGTGACGTGGCAGGCAGGGGCCAGTGCCGTTTCGGGTGGAGAGGAATGAGAGTTGCTCTGTGCAGCTGGGGCCGCATGGGGGATGCTGCTGTGGAGAGCCCTGTTGTGCGGCACTTTAAGCAAAGTGGGACATCCCTGGATGGGCCTGAGGATGTGGCTGCTGGGACCTAATCCAGCCTTTCCTCTCGCTAGGCTGGTGGTGTGTGGTGAGCTGCAGCCCCCCAGCCCGGTGGGCCAGCAACTCCATGACCTGGTTCCCCTTGCTGCCCTTGAGTGCCTGAGACAGTGTGACCTGCGCTGTTGGGGGCAGCAGCCCCTCGGAGCTGGGGCAGCCCTCTCCCCTTGGGGGCTGCTCCCGGGTAATGGTTAACTGTTACCTGGTAAGCATCACCTGTTACGGGTGACGCTTACCGGGTAACCAGTTACCCTTTCACATCCCTAGTGGTAGGGTTCTGAGTTGGGTCAGAACAGGGTTCCCTGTGTGCTTGGGCACTCACCCAGGAGAGAGTCCAATGCTGCTCAGCTGATCAGCAGAGCCCACAGTCTAGGTATATGTTTAACATAAGAATGGTCATAGTGGGTCAGGCCAAAGGTCCGTCTAGCCCAGTATCCTGTCTTTTGACAGTGGCCAGTGCCAGGTGCCCCAGAGGGAGCAAACACAACAGGTAATCCACATGTGATCCCTCTCCTGTCCTCCATTCCCAGCCTCTGACAAACAGAGGCTAGGGACAGCATTTCTGCCCGTCTTGGCTAATAGCCATTGATGGACCTAACCTCAATGAATCTATCTAGCTTTTTTTTTTTTTTTTTTTTTTTTTACCCCTTCAAGGAGTTCCACGGGTTGACCATGTGCTGCATGAATAAAAACTTCCTTTTGTTTTAAACTGGCTGCCTGTTAATTTCATTTGGTGACCCCTAGTTCTTATATTGTGAGAATAAATAAATAACTTTTCCTTATTCACTTTTTCCATACCAGTCATGATTTTATAGACTTCTATCATGCCCCCCCCCCTTAAGATCCTCTTTTCTAAGCTGAAAAGTCCAAGTCTCTTTAATCTGTCTTCATATGGGACCCGTTCCAAACCCCTCATCATTTTTGTTGCCCTTTTCTGAATCTTTTCCAATGCCAGGATATCTTGCTGTATTCAAGATGTGGGCAGCCCATGGATTTATACAGAGGCAGTGAGAGAGTCTGTCTTATTCTCTATCTCTTTCTTAGTGATTCCTAACATTGTTTGCTTTTGGCTGCTGCTGCGCACCGAGTAGATGTTTACAGAGAACTCTTCAGAATGACTCCAAGCTCTCTCTTGAGAAGTTGTAGCTAAACTAGTCCCAATCACACTGTACGTGTTTCTAACGGTGGCGCACATAGAAAAACTCAATCCGCACAGGGATGGAAAATCCCCACGGGGATGGGTGAGATTTAGCAGGCACACTGAGCACCAGTAGGTCTTTCTGCCACTTCCTGCATCCTGCAGTTCTTGGGAGCTGCTGCAGCCCGTGGCAGGCGATCACCAGGCCTGTGCCTGGAGGGCCAGCACATGGTCTGTCATGCTGTCACAGAGAGAGGTCAGCACAGACTCATTCTCTTGGCTGGCATGTGAGAGTCACGCTGCTGTGGTCAAGGGTCTGCCCATGGTAACTGTCTCAGGGAGTCCTGCTCCTGTCGTGCCCACCCTGGCCATGCCAGCCTTGGCACTGTCTGGGTAGGGAGAGTGCAGCCTAGGCATCAGACTCAGTCCACCCCTCTGAGGTTGGATTCTGTCTTTGGCCCTGGCAGCCACTAATGGTCCCAAGGACCAAACCAGTGTGCCTTAAATAAAGGAACTTTTCGGCCGTGTTATGGAAACAGGGAAGTGCAGCTTGGGATGGGCCAAGCCCAGGTGTGCCCCAGGCTGACCCGGCCCTCCTGTGGCCCAGGTGGCAATGCGAGTTCAGTGGCAGAGCAGAAATCGGTCTCCTGTGAAGCTGCCTATTGGCAACACCTTTGGGAGACTGGCTCTTGCCAGACTTCCCATGTATACTAAGGACCTGGGATGCCTTGCCTCTTCCCTAGCCATGCCTGACGGGGTCTCCCTGGGTCCCTGCCTGGGCCATGGCACGTCACACCCCTTGTAATGCTTCAGAGCCCCTCGCCAAGGGTACCTGTGCGCGCAGCTAATGGGGCAGGCCCTAGGCCAAGCCCCTGTGGCCCCACCTCAGCAGTGGACAGACAATGGTGCTCTACAGATTTCTGTCAGCTGAGACTCACTTTGCAGGTGTCTCCACCGCTCCCCTGGCTCTGCTGAGCTCCCCCTGAGCTGAGCTGTGCTGACCAGGCCCGGAAGCTGCACCCCACTAATGTGCCCTTGGTGGGGACCTTTCCGCCCTGCCCGGCCTGGCCCATGGGGCTGGCTGGAAGCAGGCGACCAGCACAAGCTGCTGCATGTGCCTAATGGCCCCTTTCTCTTTCAGGGCCTTTTTCTGGCTGGTCTCCTTGCTCCTATCGTCGCTGGTCTGGTTCATTGCTGTGAAAGCCAGTGACCCAGGAAACAAGCCGCTGCAGAAGGGCCTCCTGATATTTGGGGTCCTGTTCTCCGTGCTCCTCCAGGAGGCCTTCAGGTTTCTCTACTACAAGTTGCTGAGGTGAGGAGTGGGGCGGGGCACTCGCGCCACCTGCCAGTCTGAGCAGTAACTCAATGCTGCTCGTTGCACAAGCCCGGACTTTGCCCTCCCCTGCTGCCCCACCCTGCTTCTCTGTGCCAGCCATCGGAGCACCTCCCAAGAGCCGTCAGCCCTCTGGTGCAGGGACTGTCCTTTGGATTTGTTCCAGGTATGCAGAGTGCCCAGCACGAGGGAGCCCGACCTCCCCCGGGAGCCTCCAGGTGCTTCTGCAACATGACTGTTCCGTAGACTAGTAATTGTAACAAGTTCATTAGTTTCCGGTAGGGAGGTTAAGTGTCAGCTCCCTGCTTAGCAGGTTATCAGTTGTCCCCTCTGGGTATACTCTTCACAGGGCTGGGAGCACTGGCGGCCCCAGCAGCCCTGTGAATGGTGAACTGTAACGGACGGGAATGGGATCTGTTACACGGTTCATTTCCCCCCCATTTTTTACATCTGTAGTTTAAAGGCAGAAGGTCCATTAGATTATTTAATCTGAGCTCCTGAACAGCACAGCCCACTAAGTGTCCCCCCGTTCCCCCTGCACTGAGCCAGTAGCTTGTCTTTGTGGAAGCTGCTGCTTCCAAACATGCCAAGGTTCAGTCGATGGAGAATCCACCTGTTCATCCGCTTCTCTGTTACGTGCAGGAGCCGAATTCCTAGCCTGACTTGGGCCAGCTTCAGTGCCAGCTGCGGGGCTCGTTCTGCCTTTCTGATAGATGAAAGAGCTCTTTACTACGTGCGTTTGTCTTCCCAGGAAGGTGCTGGTGCCCATAACTGAGCCACTCTGCTGTCTCGTTTCTAAGCAGAGTTGAGGCCGAGGGACCCTGTGCATTTAATACAACGCTCTGAGTGCTGCCGTACCGCGAAGGAACAGCGTGTCTGGGAACCCGGCAGTGCTCACGCTGCGCCCTGCTCCCCCCCGACCCCGTACTCTGCATCCCTGCTACAGTGTGTGCCTGAATCCGGTGGTGATCTAGGTGTCTTGTGTAGGGATGGGAATGGTTAACTGAGAAGGATCTCCCTCACTACAGCTAACCGCCACCCATCCATTGTGAGCAGGGGGCTGCTCCAGCCAGGCAGGGCCTGAGCCCGGTCAGAGCAGCCCCCTTCCCCCCTGCCATTTAAACAGAGCATCAAACTGGTTAACTGGGGGGTGGAGTCCCTGTGCAAATGCGGCCCCTCTGGCGGGGCTGCTGCAGGGTCTGCTGTGTTCAGGACAGGCACGGGAGAGCCGCTCTCTGCCTTTGCCTGCTGCGCGTCTCTGCCCAGTCCTGGAGGGTGAATAGCGCAGAGGGAGGGGGCTGGAGGGAGAGGTCTGAATCTGTTGTGGGTCATGTGCTGGGTATTATGGGATGGAGGACGGACTGCCTGAGCCACAAGGCAAGATGCTACGTCCTAAGCCCTAGCCACAGCGATCGTGCCTCGTTTCCTGTGGCCACTGGCCACTACCCGCCTCCCTGGGGCAGGCAGGGCTGTGCCAGCAGGAAGCAGGGTGAGTGCTGCAGGAGGGGGCAGACCTTGGTGGCAGGAATGGGGGGATTTCTCCGTTGCTGGGAGGTGCTGCCCTTTGTAAACACGGGGATGTGCATCGCACGCTGATGTCCTGCTGCTGCTGGGCTGGGGAGTTTTGCTCCACAGTGTTATAGCTTGGGTGGGGCTTCTCCTAAAGGGACTCCCCATGTTCCTGCAGCAGTCTGGAAACAGGCCACTCTCTCTGCTGTGACTCCGGCTGCAGTTTCAGCCCCAGCGGGAGCCGAGCAGCTAGTGGCGCGGGTGTGCTCAGCTTGCCAGGATTCTGCAGACTTATATTGGGGTCTGGTTTTTGCACCCCATAAGTCTGGCTCCCTGGACACCACACCGGTGTGAGGAGGTGAATTCCTGGGTGACAGCACTAGTGATTCAGACTAACACGGCCACCCCTGTGATACTTGTCACCGAATAAGGCACTATATGTAGCCATATGGACTGGAAATCCATCAACCTCATGAACATGCATCTGACAAAGTGGGTCTCTGCCCACGAAAGCTCATGCTCCAATAAGTTTGTTAGACTATAAGGTGCCACAGGACTTCTCCTTGTTCTTGCAGAACTG